TTGGCTAAATGTTGTCGTTGGCTCTTGTGAAAGTTGCTTGTAATTTGGGCATAATTATGACACAGCCAACATCTGTCATGGCTGCAGCCAATGGCACGCCCCGTTTTTTGCAGTAGTTATGCAATTTACGTTACCAAATAAAACTTTTCAGAACATTTAAAACTTTAATTATACGCACACAGACATTGGCTGCCCAAATGCCTGGCATTGTCGGCAAAAATAAATAAAATAAAATAAAAAAATACTTTTTAACTCGCGACAACATCTAGAAAAAGAAGAAGAAACAGTTGCGAGCTTAGCAGTGATAAAATCGCATGCCATTTCCGGTCAGTAAACTTTTAATGTAAAAAAGTTTTAGTTGTGTGTGTGCATGTCGCACGGCGAATCACATTTACAATTGAGCCAAGTTTTGCAAGTTCTCCCTCGATACACAGCAATACACACGATCTTACTTGCATTTTCAATGCACACTCTTAATTTTAGTGCTCTCTTTATACCTTTCTCTTCATATAAAATATGAAGTTTTGTAGTGGGCAGCTTAATTGTAATATTCTCTTTTTCCCTCCCTCTTCATATAAAATAAGAAGTTCTGTAGCAGGCAGCTTAATTTTAGTGGTCTCTTCACATAGAATAAGAGCAAGGGTAGACTGAAGATAAGACGCTCGCCGGATCAGCGAGTAGACCCTGGTTCGAATCCTGTTGCTCCTATATCAGCGAAAACCTTTTTTTATGAGTGCCTTTATGCCTATGTCTTTTTTAACTAATTTAGTCTAAAGAAAATATGTAAAAATAATTAACGAACCGAAATATACCCAAAATGTTGTACAGTGTAGCTTGGGGAGCTCTTTTATAACTATTTTTAAGCCGTTTAAATGAACTTTGCCGTCATGCCTGCTGATGGGTATCGATGGCAAAATTGAAAATTTCGTTAAGCTGCGTAGCTTCAAAGTGCATGCAACTCGAATAACTCAATTAGCGCGTCATTGTTGGTAGCTGACGCTTTGTTGCAACTGGCTGGCAAACTGACTTTAAGCGCCTTTTTTTAATGCTGCTCTGCACGCGGTTCGCTCGAAAGCGAATTCATCGCGTGGAAAGTGAAATGCATGCCGCGCTGTTCAGGGCACTGTTATACACGCACCAAAGCATACATACATACATACATAAATGCACACATACATATGTATGTACTCGTAATTGGAGCAAACTTAAATTAATTCGTCAAAAGCCCCCTCAGTTGTGGCTCATGTAAATTTATTTGGCTTTGCGCTTTGTACAACTGCTGCCGCACGGCCGCACCCAGCTCTTTTTTTTTCTCCTTTTTTTTTTGCTAATGTGGCGCTAATTAGCTTTTACAGCAGGTGGGTTTGGTTGTATGAAACAAAAAAAAACTCCCAGCGCTTGACAACTTGTCCATAATTGGACGAAACAGCAAAGCGTAGGTTTTTGCAAATTGTCGCAGCAAAAGTCAAGCGAACAGTCTAATTCGCCGCAAATGACAGCGCATGCGATTGGTTGGCTTGCTGCTGACTCAAAGGATCGCTATCGATCGAATTATCGATGCTAGTTACTCGCCGCAAATGAGAACGAGTACAATTGGGGTTATTTATCGATGCCTGAGCAAGCGATTTATTTTGAAATTTAAATACTTTTATGTTCCAAATTGATCAATTCACATTTTCGAAAAGCCACTTTACAATAAAATCGAATGATCATTGTAAAGAAATATTATTATATGACACTTGAGACAAGTTGAACTTGATTTTCCTAATTAGTTTATCTAGTCCTAACTTCGCCTTTCCAATCAGAATCCCATTTGAATTTCCAATCTCAAGTAAAACACATTAAAAGAATGTTTTCCCCTTGCATTGCAGCAGCCGGAAATGGTAAACGAGCATCGGGAGCCCAGCAACAAGTTGTCCGGCTATGAATTCTATCGACGCGTGCTGGGCGCGCCGCGTTACGTTGTGGCGCCCATGGTGGACCAAAGCGAGCTGGCGTGGCGCATTCTGTGCAGACGGTATGGCGCCCAGCTCTGCTACTCGCCCATGTACCATGCGAATCTGTTTGCCACCGATCTGAAGTATCGCAAGGATGCGCTGCAAACGTGTCCAGAGGATCGACCCTTGATCATACAGTTTTGTGGCAACGATCCGCAACAGATTCTGGAGGCGGCGCTCGCTGCACAGGATCATTGCGATGCCGTCGACATCAATCTGGGCTGCCCGCAGGCGATTGCCAAGCGTGGCCATTACGGTTCCTTTCTGCAGGACGAATGGCAGCTGCTGACACAGATTGGTTCGTAACCAAATTAACCACAAAATTATCCAACTCTAATAATCATATTGCTTTCCAGTGAGTACGCTGCACGAGAAGCTCTCCGTGCCGGTCACCTGTAAGATACGCATATTCGAGGATCGGGAAAAGACCATTAACTATGCCAAAATGCTGGAGGCCGCCGGCTGCCAGCTGCTCACCGTGCACGGCCGGACACGCGAGCAGAAGGGACCTCTCACGGGCATTGCCGATTGGAGCTACATCAAGGATGTGCGGCAGCACATCAAGATACCCATGTTCGCCAATGGCAATATATTGGGACTGGAGGATGTGCATCGCTGCCTGGAGGCCACGGGCGTTGATGGCGTTATGACCGCCGAGGGTAATCTACATAATCCGGCCATCTTTCAGGGCATCTCGCCGCCCGTCTGGCAAATGGCCCACGAGTACTTGGAATTTGTGGATCTGTATCCCTGTCCCAGCTCCTATATACGCGGCCATCTCTTCAAGCTGTTCCATCATATGTAAGTACCAAGTCTTCCAACTGGGAACAGGTATCTGCATTCCAAGTGTCATCTCCCTTGCAGCATGAATATACGCTCGAATGCACAACTGCGGGAACAGCTGGCGACGGCCAATCAGCTGACCCAGTTCCACGGCGTCGTGGCCAAGGTGCAGGAGAAATACGCGCCATATCACACGGGCGCCGCAGCCTACGAGCCGGAGGAGATGGAGCTGAATGTCAGCGCCGGAGCTGCGGAGGAGGTAAGCGTTCGAACATTACAAATCCTGTCAAGCAATTCTCTAACCTCGTCTCGGCAGTTGCCCATGCTGCAGCCGTGGCTGTGCCAGCCATATATACGCGCGTCGCCGGAATCGCATCGCCAGAAGATCGCCGAGAAGCAGCGCGAGGCCATCGATCCGAATCGCGCCAAGCGCCAGTACTTTGACCATGCCGGCAACGAGATATCCCGCAAGCGCATGAAGAAGCTGCGCCGTCGCCAGCGGCGCCCGAACAAGACGGAGGCACAGCTACAGCTGCGCCACGAACGACATCTGGAGTATTGTGAGCAGTGCGCCAATCCGCTGGGCTCCAAATGCGAGTTCCGGCTGTGTCGCATCTGCTGTCGGGACAAGTGCTATGCCGAGGACTGTGACTGTCCCGGGCATGGCATACTCATCAAGTCGCGCCGCGCCAAGGCCAAGCAGTTCGAGGCCCATTCCAGGCAAGATAACAACAACGATCCTCTTTCCCTTGTTCCCATCGCAAATCCAGCAACTGTCGATGCGCCGACAATACCTGAAAGGCAAAATGTTTCCTGATATCGAAATCGGGATCTTAGCGAATTTGTACCGTCTAATGTAGGAAATTGCTTGCATTGTTGTTCCTATTCCTTTCTGTACAAATAAAAAGAAAACACAAAATACTTTATTATGCACATTGCCCTTGCTACAGGGTATTAACAGTATTTCGATTAAATATCGAACTGCGGCTCTGTTAAGTAATTGCGCTGTTAACATACGATAGCATGTTAGCATACGATGGTATCTAACATCGGTTCATTTTAACAAGGTTCAGTTCATGAGCCCAAACTAGTTCCGTTCGCAAATTGATGTTCATTTGACGCACATTTGCTTGCAATATTTCAAGTGAAAATAACAAACATATTTATTAAAAATAAACATTATTTAGCGGAAAAACGCTCGAACTAAAGCCAGCTGCAGAGTGTAATTGACGCGCACGCATACAACGTGTAGAAAAAAACCTGGCGACTCACCACTGAGAAATTAAGTAAATAGGTCAGAAAATGGATCAAAACAAGGGTTTCAAGTGCGAGGAGCCGGGCTGTGGCAAGGCCTTCTGGTATAAGGCAGCGCTCAAGCGTCATCTGAACACGCACAAGGAGAACGATCCGGATGTTCCGACCGTCACCTGGGGCTGCAGCGATTGCACCAAGATGTTCTCGACCATCGAATCCTTGCGGCGGCACTACAGGTACGTGCAGAATCTTCTGTAGAGGATCAGATTGCTAACGCACAACAATTTGCAGAACGGCCCACGGCTCGGTCTATGTGTATCCGTGCGAGTTCGAAGGCTGCAACCAAATGTTTCAGCGCAAGGATAATCTCACGCGGCATGCTGCCTCGCATGCGGACAACAAGCATTGCTGCGACATCTGTGGCAAGTCCTTTGCCAGAAAGGACGCCATGACACGGCATAAAACGTGAGTTGATATGCTATAAGAGACGCTTGGCATATGCCATTAACAACTATTCCGCAGCATTCACACACGACAGCCCCAAGCAGCGGATAGTCGAACCACATCCAGTTCGAATCCCGCCTCCCTGCAAGTGCATCGACGATCTGTGGGCGCCAAAGTCTGAAGGGCACGGTAGACGGATTCATATTAACCCGGAACTTGCGCCCGCAGCGAACGTTTTGACCGTGAAAAGCATGTACAGGTCATACTCCTGGTTGGCAACACACCCGGAGTAGAACAGGACGAGTTAAAATATGAGGAATTACCGATATATGTACATATATACATAACAAAAGTTGAATATGAGCTTGGTTGAGCGTATCCAAACAATTAACCATCAGATGGGTTCGGGTCAATATATTCATATAAAATGTATTAAGGTTTGAAGAAAAGCCAAACGTGTTCTAATGTTAAGTTCAAGCATGAAATCATACTTAATATTAATCAATTAAATTATATGTAAATATTATTCTATTTTTCCAGACAGATGTACTGGTTGAACATTTTAAGTTTAGTAAGTTCTATCAATTGGTTAGTTTTGCATCCCAATACAGAATAAAATGCGAATATTTATAACTTTACCGTTTGATCGCACAATCAATGGAGCTAAAAGAACGAAACTAGTTCTTGGCTATCGTTCATTTAGTTCCGATTAATGATCGTGTAGACAAATGCTTATCGCTGTAAACATTTGGGTTGCACAAAAAACTTGCTTAAATTAATTAAATTTAATAAATAACATTCAGAAAAATACAAAGTAAATACTAGAATTAAAAGTGCTTTTAAATGTAATTGGTTTTGTTCATTTGAGTTAAGCGGCAATAATGTTCAGCCAGTGCGACAATCGTGCAATCGATAACTCTTGGGCAGCAACTCTGGGCCAAGGCACGTTTTGCGGCTTCCAATTAAAACCAAAATGGAACAAACAAAAAGATTCTATGATTTTTGCATACCATACAACAAGGATGACAAATTAATGCGTGCTATATTAAACGAATTGGTCGAGCTGGGCTACAAGACGATAGCAATTGACCAGAGCTTCGATCACAGCAAAAAGGAGGCCGGCAAACGTGGCTCGGAAGTGTTTCCGGAGCCGCACGGCATCGAGCATTTGCGCAAGGAGTTCGCGAATAAACTGAGGATATTGCAGCGCATAACTATACTGTACGTAGACGCAAATGTGGCACATGCAATGGTAATGCAGTAAACGACAAGTGACACGTGGCCGCAAAACTAACTGAAATAATTGCATCTCTGACTTAGAGCGTTTCCCTGAATCTGCGCAAGTTCAATCTAATCGCCGGACAGCCCAAAACGGACGCAGCCTTAACAGTAAGTGGCGTTGGCCCTAACAATAATCTCCATTAACTTCCGTACACACTTTCCCCACAGCACTGCTGCACCGCATTCAATGGCGATATCATCACATTTGATCCGGCCGCCGGCTCCCGTTTGCTGGTCCAGCGCAAACCTTATATCATTGCGGTGCGACGCGGCATCTACTTTGAGCTGAAGTATGCGCCGGCGATTGCAGACTCCAACAATCGCAAGGACATGATAAAGGTGGCCCAGAATTATTGCACCAAAGGCAAGTCGCGGAACATCATCTTCAGCAGCGGTGCCGCTCATGAATTCCAGCTGCGCGGTCCGTACGATGTGGCGAACCTGTAAGAACCGACGGGATGTACATATATTACGCATGTATTTTCTATAATGACCTCCTTTTGCAGTGCATTTATATTTGGTCTTTCGGAGGATCAGGGCAAGAATGCCATCGATCGTTCCTGCCGTCAGCTGTTTCTACGTGCCGAATCCCGGCGTCTGGGCAAAACAATAATGTTTGTCAAAGGCGAGGGCCCAATTGTGTTTTCAGACAGTTCTGATGACAATCAAAGCGAGGAAGAGAATACTGACGAAATGGACGCTTTGGTTACGGAAGCAGCAACCGAAGAGGACGAAAGGGAAAATAGTCAAGCCAATAAAAGACTGAAAGTAGCGTAGCATTCAATTTAATTTGAAAACTGTGTGTACACAATATTTCGGCTATTATAGTTGCACGCGTGATAGTTCTACATCAGGAATACGAAGAAAACGTTTTAAACCAAGAACTTTTTCCAAAAGTATTTCAAATTTCTCAATTAAACCGCGCCTGGTAACACTTAGTGCAGGGCGCGCATTTTAAATGGCAGCTCTCGTATCGATTGTATGCTATCAAAACTAAAGATGAGTTACATTGTTTTTGCGTTCAGTGCTTTCAGTCGCTCTCACATGTTATTTAAAATGTGACGCCAAATAAAAATATTAAATAAAAAAAAATTTATGGTTGCAACTTGTGTATTCACATAACAATTCTCCATGAGTAGCACGTATTTGTGCATTTAGTAATAAAAATAAGAAATCGGTACTTTAAAAATACTTAAGGCAAGTAACTGGTTAGCACATATCGATCATCCCTAATCGCTGCTAAACAAAATGGAGGTCTTTGATGTGGTGCGTACATGTCTGACAAAGTGCTGCTAAAATATTTGCGTAAAACGGTAAAAATAAATTGATTAATTAATTAAATGTAACAACAAAATGCAAATAAAGTTGCCGGCAACAATTTGCGCTAAAAAGCAAACGAGTACTGAGCGTATTTCAAATGTTATATGATTTTCAAAACTACGAAACGAAAACCAGACACTCGAACGAAGAAAAAAATGTGAAAGAAGTAGAGAGCGAGAGTACAAGACGACGGCGACAACGACAACCAAACGACGAGAAAAACGGCAAAAGAAATATGTATTTCGCGAGACGACGACCGCAGCGGCAGCAGCAGCAGCAGCCGCAGTCAACGTTCAATTGTTTTTTCCGAATTATGGCCAAGTGCATGTGTATAAACGTAATGTGTGTGTGTTTGTGTGCGTGTGAGCGTTAATTAATTGGCAGAGTTAGACAAAAATTAAAAAAATATATAAATCACAGTACACGAATATATGTAAATAAAAGCGTGAATTAAAATGCGTTCGCAATGAAGTCGCTTCTTCAACGCATTTTACACTTTTTCGTTACCTTTTGTATAATTAAAAATGGACCTCGCTGTCTGTCGCTGTGTGTGTTTTGTGCAGTTGTCTGTATATCTGTGCATGTGTGTGTGTTGGTGATGCTCGATTTTCGCTGCTTGATGATGATGTTTGATTATAATAATGATTATTGCCTCCCTGACTTTTTGTCTTTCTGTGCATGTGTGTGTGTGTGTTTCAAATACGCTTTCGTTTGCGTTACTTCGGCAGCTAAATTATTTGTGAGGGAGGCGGTGACTGTGTTGTCTAAGTTCATTTCAATTTTTTGAATAATTTATATACTCTTGCTTTTTGCTGTTGGTTAAAAAAAAAAAATGCCAAATTAACATTGCCCATTTGTCGTATTGTTGCCGCTGCACCTCTGCCGCGGGGCAGAGCAACAGCAGCAAGCGGCGCCCTGTCAATGATTTTCGCCCATTTTCAGTTATTTGGTGGGGGTCTTTGCTTGTGCGTGTGTGTGTGTAAGTGTGACTGCAATAAAATGTCTTACATTTGCCTGTGTATATATTGTAATTATTCGCCGTGGCGAGTTCGCCATTTATATTTTCATTTCTTTGTGCCCACTGCTTCTTGCTACATTTGTTTTTGTATCTTATTTTTTGTATTTGGTGAGTGGCGTGTGTCCCGCGTTGATTTTGCACTGTTCGAAAGAAGGAAAAAAAACTGTTTTTCGCAGCCAGCATATATTTAGTGTGTATGTATTAGTCTCTCGCTGCAGCAGCGTTGCCACACAATCGCATGCAGATGCACACACCTGTGCAAATGTGCTGCTCGTCGTTTTCGTGTCGCATCTAGTTCGGCTGCTGCGCGCCCCCGCTGCGTTCATTTGCTTGTTTTTTTTTTTTTTTTTTTGGGCTCTATTCATATTTCGTGCGTTGTGTGAGTGCGTGCCTCGTGTGTGTATTTTCAGTGATTTACGCGTTCGCACAATCCCAGCGCAAACAGACAACATCTGCATGCAACGGTATCCATTTAACGCATGTGTAAGTGTACGTATGTGTGTGTGTGTGTGTGGGTGTGTGTGTGTGTGTGTGTGTGTACCACGGCAATGACAGCGCAGAATTGCTGTTGTTGCACCGGACCTTAACATAGCGCTTGCATTGTCTTTTCTTCATTTGATTTGTCTCATCTCTGTCGCCGCCTGTCATATGTCTACCTCCTTTGCACACACACACACATGCATAAGCGACCACAGCAGCAGCCACACGTTTTTCTAGCCGGGGCACTCGCTGTTTATGTCCGCGCTCTCTCGCACTACGCGCAATTGATGAGAGCGTAAATTTTCATGCGCTCGTCGTCGCTGCCGCTGCTCTCGGCGCCATCAACGACTACCAGTGTTGCCAATTCCGCTAATTTAATATCAAATCTGGCTTAAAAGTGCAATGAGAGACAAATATGAAAATAGCGGGAAATGGCGATTCCGCCGATTTAGTTTAGCGTGTTGTTATTTTGTCCGCTGTATTTAATAGTAGAAAAACTTCTCAAAAATAATTCAAATCATGACCTAATCTTGACTTCTCTTAATTAATTATCAATACCCAAATAATGTTCGGCTTATCTTAACTAGTATATACAGGTCTCTAGCTGATTAATTATAGCTTGATATTATAAAGTTAATACCTATAGTAATGAAAATTAATATTTTGATAGAACAAATTGAAAAATCCATTGCACATTTCCTTTAGCTTATTTTCATTATATAAAGCTGGCTTTTTAAACGAATTTTTCGCTTTAAACTAGCTTTATTTTGTTTTTGGATTTTGAAAAGTTGGCAACACTGTTGACAGCAGCCGTCGCAGTCTCGTCGTCTGCTGCGGCGGCTGTAACAATTTTTTTTCATGACTTCTTTTTGGCTGCTTCTGTCGTTGCCCCTTCGCTGCCACGGCTGCTTTTCCTTTTCCAATTACACAAACGTTTTCACGTCTGCTTCATACGTACGTGTTTTTTTTTTCTTTTTTTTTTTTTAACAATATCTATTGATTTCTTTGTTTGGCTCTGGCAACGGTGACAGACCGCCGGCCCCAATAGCCGAGTGCTGCGCGTATATCATGTTTAATTGTAATTATCGCGCGCGCGTGTGTGTGTGTGTGTGAGCTATTTGCTCAAGTCGCAGCAGCGGGAAGAAGAAGCAGCAATGGGCAGCCTCAGTCGTTGCGCTTTTGTAGTTTTCGCTCCGTTTGTTACTACTTCTGCTATTGCCGTTTTTTTCTCTTCCTCTTTTTCTGCCTCATAGGCGTTTCGTTTAGTTGTTGTTGTTGCTGCAATTGTGCTACAATTATTATTTCGCATGTGTTGCTTCGTGTATCTACACTCGAATTAGCATTGTTGTTCTTGTTGTTGCCATTCGCATTCGCCATCCGTCATCCGTCATTGTTCGTCATCATCAAAGTTGTCGATGTCGCG